TTCTATATCTTACATTGTCATCTTAATTTTTGATCACCTTAGTAAAAATTTGCTTAAGATTATAAACTTCAAGTTTTAAAAAAACAACAACGTCGTGTCAAATGACACACCGTTTAAAATGTCTACATTTAAAGTTCACCAAAATAATGACGTAAAAACTAAATATGATATGACATTAGCATACATATCATTCAATCTAATCACTCTAAAGTACAAATCAATAATTTTTATTGATTAAGGGGCTGGGTGAGTTATTTTTATCACTATTCACCCTTCCCCTTCCCTTTGTCCACAACCCCTTTCCCCTTCTCCCATCCCTAACCTCAATACCAACCGCTAGATACACAGACCGTACCACTACCCATTCTATTCTATTTAAGAGACAAAGGCTGTATGACAATCCTAAAGACAAATATTTATTCAACTAATATCACAACCCCTAGACACTACTCCAGCAGACTGGGCTATGTAACTTGTAGACGCCACTCCTCGTTGAATATCTCTTGCACCCTAATTACATCGACAACTTTGTCCGCCGCCCTCACCCCCGTCCCTAAACACCCGCTTGATAAACAGACCGTACCTCTACCCACACTATACTTGGACAGACAAAGTAACAGACAAACATTTATCCCCCTTCGTTTACTGTCACAAGTGACAACGTTCCCATCCAACTCCGAAACATACATCGCCGAATTTCGAAACCAGCCTCGTTGAAAACTCCCCTGACCCTAGTTTTACTTTGCCTCACCAATTCCAAAACAGTCCTGTACCAAACATCAATGTACCAATTTTGTTGAAAACAAAGACCGTCCCACTCTAGTGTAAACTCTACCCCGACCAACTCCGAAACAGAGATGGTCCCCGTTTGAAACCTGCCTCGGTGAAAACAAAATCCTTCCCACTCTAGTATAGACTCGGCCCCTAACACTTCCAAAACATCCCTGGACCAACCTTGAAACACGCCTCGGTGAAACCCAAACTCCCCCGACGCTAGTTTAAACTCTTCCCTCATCACTTCAAAAACATCCCTGTACCAACTTTGAAACACGCCTCGGTGAAACCCAAACTCCCCGACGCTAGTTTAAACTCTACACCAATCGATTCCAAAACATGCCTGTAACAACTTTGAAACCGGCCTCGGTGAAAACAAAAACCATCCCACCGTAGTATAGACTCGGCCCCTAACACTTCCAAAACATGCCTGTACTAACTTTAAAACCACCCTCGGTGAAAACTTCACCGACCCTAGTATGGACTCTACGCCTACCGATTCCAAAACATGCATGTTCCGAGTTCAAAACCAACCTTCACCGACACTAGTATGAACTCGGCTACCAACAATTCCAAAACATACATATTCCGAGTTCAAAACCAACCTTCACCGACACTAGTATGAACTCGGCTACCAACAATTCCCAAACATGCATGTACCAACTTTCCAACCTGCCTCAGTGCTAACAAAATTCCCCGACCCTAGTATGAACTCTACCCCTGTCCATTTCTAAACATGCCTGTACTAACTTTGAAACCACCCTCGGTGAAAACTTCACCGACCCTAGTATGGACTCGGCTAGCCTCGAACCCTGGCTCGGTGAAAACGTCACCGACTCGTGTATAAAATCTGTCCCAACCAACTCCAAACCTTCCCTGCGCACCCGAATAAAAATAACTCACCCAGCCCCTTAATCAATAAAAATTATTGATTTGTACTTTAGAGTGATTAGATTGAATGATATGTATGCTAATGTCATATCATATTTAGTTTTTACGTCATTATTTTGGTGAACTTTAAATGTAGACATTTTAAACGGTGTGTCATTTGACACGACGTTGTTGTTTTTTTAAAACTTGAAGTTTATAATCTTAAGCAAATTTTTACTAAGGTGATCAAAAATTAAGATGACAATGTAAGATATAGAAAAACAAAATACATTGAGTGGTAAAAATAAAAAATTGTCATTAGACGTAATGAATTATGTATAAGTAAACTTTCTTAAAAATTAAAGAAGTTCAAGTCAAAAAGAAGTTTGATGAAAACTGTAATACTAAAGCGAACCTGGGAAGGTAATCTGCTGCAAGACTAAGATATATATTCGTCTTCCTTCTAGGTTCATTGCCTTTTTTGGTTGAGGTTAAACATCGCCATGTTTTCAAATATCGCGATGTACGTCACGTTCTCTCCCCTCTTACCTAGTAATCGCTTCCTCTACCTATTGTTTACAACACGCTTACAAAGAAAAAATATCCCACCCCTCTACTTGAGACATAAAATACAAAAGTGTATTGTGCCTTGTCGTCACAGGAAACAAAAACGGTGGCGTCTAATGTTGTTAACCCAAGGATCGCTTTTGTTGTCACCATGATAATGTATACCTATAAGTTCTCTCCGCCTTTATCGACCTAGTATGAATTTCGCGCGCGCGCGCGTATGTGTGTGGTGGTCAGATCAAAAGAAAATCGGAAAGGTCATAAAAAACTTAATTACTTTTCCAGACTTGTAAAAAACATGTCTACCCCTGCATACCTCACGTACCAACGCACTAAGTCCCCCTGTCGCCCGCGCTTAATGGCTTCGCTTAATTACCTGCAGTGATCGCTTCAGTGAACCCGCTATTAAGCAACCACGGGCCGTGCAGGGGAGGTTCACGGGCGGATCGATACGTAACAGCTGTCGGTAATGAGTAACAGCTGTGGTTAAATCGAAGTCAGGACACAAAGAACTTTCTACTTTTGTCTACAATAGCACACCCCTACCCTCAACCCCGACCATCCCTCTCAATCCCCGACCATCGGTCTAAACCACCCTCACCCCTCTCCGTTTACTATTAAACATACATACAATCAAATAAACAAACCAACAAATTAAACAACAAAGAAAAGAAATATATCAAATAAATTAAACAAAGTAATTAAAATCAAATTAATTAAAATGAATTTCAAACAAATAAGCAAATTACGTAACTCGTTAATAAAAATTAATAAAAATAATACATTAAAATTACAAAATTAAAATTTAAAAAATTAAACTAATTAAAAAAATCAAATCCACTCCCCCTCTCCCCCTCCCCCTCCTTCCCCCTCCGTCTGCCTCAAATCCACTCCCCCTCTCCCCTTCCCCCTCCCCCTCACTCCCCCTCCTTCCCCCTCCGTCTGCCCAATTTTCCTACAAATTCTGGTGTTAGTATGAGTCGCGTCTGCTTTGAGCGCCTATTAAGTTTACAGGATGAAATTTTAAAAGCCTTTGATGAATTGGAAAAACGTTAATAAACAAATAAAATATAAGAAGAGTTTTGTTCTAATTTAGTGTGTGTGTGTGTGTGATTGTGTGTGTGTATATATATACGTGTAGCATACGCGTACTAGAAAACCAACAAGGTAATGTCCGGTTGCTCAACCTAATTACACCACCAGCTGTCGCACAACAGCTGTTGCATAATGACCTACGTACTTCGTGGAGCTAACAAAGCGATCGGTAAAATCGATTAACGTGGTAACAGGTGTTCCCACACTTAACGCTGGCTTCGCGGAGAGACACTTAGCTCTTTCAATTAAACGCGGGACCCCTGCTGTGATCGGTTCGGCGAACAACACATAAAATCGGTGAAGCATAACCAATTTAATTAGGCGGGACATCATGCCGTGATGGCCCAGCGGCTGCGATCGATACATTCCTGTCGCCCGTTAAAAAACACGAACCTACGGAGACTTCGTTTCGTCTCAAACCTGACTTAACGGTTGTTGAAAGAAAATTCCAACCCTTAAATATATATTTTGTTTTCGCTGACCCTCGCTATAAGCGAATAGTTACAACCAATGTCCTTACTCAGCGTAATTACAGCACCAGCTGTTACGTGATGGCTTCCCACTCTAGTAACCGAGCGGGGAAAAATCAATTATAGTGGTACAGCTGTTACCACACTTAACGCGGAGACGCGCTTAATGGACCTCATTAAACACCGGACCCTACGGTGTTCGCTTCCGTGAACAACACATAAAATCGACGATGCGTCACAAAATTTAATTAGGTGGGACATCATGCTGTGATGGCCCGTGGGTGGAATCAATATTAACGCGCCCGTTGTCCAGTGTTTGACAAAAACAAAGGATTGCGGATCGATATGTAACACATGTTGCACGGTTGGTTAAAGGGTGGTATACAAAGACTGTTCTAGTACATGCTAGTGTTAGTCTTTTATTTAAAACATACATACATTCAAATAAACAAACCAACAAATTAAACAAAAAGTAAACAAATAATCAAATTACGTAACTCGTCAATAAAAATTACATAATATAAACAAAGTAATTAAATTAAACAACAAGTAAACAAACAAATTAAACAATTTAAAAAATTAAAAAATCAAATGACGTAACTAGTTAATAATAATTAAACTAATTATAAAATAAAATTAAAAATTTAAAAAATTAAAAAATTAAAATCCAATTACGTAACTCGTTAATAAAAATTACACAATATAAACAAAGTAATTAAATCAAACAACAAGTAAACAAACAAATTAAACAATTTAAATCGAACAAATAATCAAATTACGTAACTAGTTAATAAAAAATTAATTAAAATTTTAAAAATTCATTAAAACTAATTTAAAAAACGCATTAAAATTACGTAACTAGGTCAATGATTACGTCACAAAGTCACTAATTACGTCACAAGGTCAATGATTACGTCACAAGGTCACCAAAAGGTGACTCACCCTGACCTACTTCCCCACCACCTGCGCCAATGCCAGTTGGCGTAGTATTTTACTATATGTCGTTGTACCTGCAGCGCATCCACCTTACCCTCAGATGCGCCAGTTGGCGTAGTATTTTGCTATATGTCATTGTACCTGCGGCTCCTTCACCCTCCGAGTATTTTACTATAATGTCTTTGTACCTTCCCACCACCACCTGCGCCAAAAATACGACCCAAAAGTGACCTAATATACTACTCTCATGTAGCAAAAAACCAAAGGAAAAAAATAACTTTAAAAACATTGTCAATGTCAGATGTTTATTTTTTCTAGAAGTTTATTTTATTCATTGTGTGTTCTGCAAGGGAGAAACATAAAACAGAGTTAATAAACAGAGTTAATAATAACATTACAGTTTTATTTACAATCCAATATATATCTATCTATCTATCTATCTATCTATATATATATATATATATATATATATATATATATATATATATATATATATATATATATATATATATATATATATATATATATATATATATATATATATATATATATATATATCTATATATATCTATATCTCTCTCTCTATATATATATCTATATCTATATATATATATATATATATATACATATATATATATATATATATATATATATATATATATATATATATATATATATATATATATGTATATATATATATATATATATATATATATATATATATATATATATATATATATATATATATATATAATAGATTTCTAAGCATACGGACTGTTCCATAGTATTTACATTTTTAATTTTCATAGCACGCAAAATTTTAATTCGCATATTTAAACTTGTACATGATAAATCTACGATTGTTTTTACTTCAGTATATTGACAACGTTTTTATTTGTTATAATTTGATCTTCGCAATCCGTTTAATAAATCGAAATTGTAAAGATTTGCTGAGTAAGTTATTATTTATGTAATTTGTTTTCGATCGTTTTAAAAGTGTATAAATAATAAAAGATGAAGTACATTTGAATCGAGAGTAAATGAGAGGGTGCTGAATTTGTTGATTAATAATAGTGTTGTGGTTGTACCTATATGTAGAAGTGACGCAAACAATGTTAATAGTGAAAGTGTCGGCAAGGATTCACGAAAATGAGATGTATGTCAATATTATCAGACGTGCATGCAGCGAATTTTTAAAAAATTTAAAACAATCTGTTAACATGTTAGTTTGTTGACTTGTACATATTTGCTCAGGGGATGGGTGAAGAAAGGCGAATGATATATTAGGGCCTGGGTTTGGGAGGTTAGTGGTGTGGGGATGAGGTATTTAGTGGCAGCCGGCTGGGACGGGTGCGGCATATATGAACGGGTTGCTCTGAGCCCGGGGTGTAGCCGGTATGTGTGTGTGTGGATATGATTTTAAGTGAACGTGGGTATTCGGATTGGCCATAGTTTTCTGGGTATCTTTGACGAGCTATTATGCCATTCAAATTTCAGAAAGTCTTATGCATAGCATAATTGTGTTTAGAAGAAACATACAAACGAAAGTATAACTATGTTTATGTTTAAAAATGTATTTATTAACTTATAGAAACAACCCCAACGCTACGTATTATTTTACAGCGCCCTATAACATACTTTCCTTTTATTTTCTACTATGTACTGTACATCTTTTTAGTCCGAGACTAAAAAAAAAAAGAAAAGAAAAGTAATATTAACCATAATTAGTGGAGGTTTTGATCATTGATTATTAAAATAAGGTCTATAAAAAGTTTTTCCCGTGTCGCTGTTATACATTCCTGGATTCTATAGCTCAATTTTTGATATTGAGTTAATTTAATAAAATTGTCACTATTTGTTTACTGCGTAAGTTATACAGAATCTTTTGTAATCAAGCAAGAAATAGTTTTCACGATTTCTCTACATCCTATACATTTCTGTGTAAATAAAAAAACAGTTTTGCGTGCGAATGTCACGATAACCAGGTAACGTTTTATTCATTTTAACACATTCTCATATATAATAATAATAATATATAAAATTTATTTTTTTCAATTTTTTAGCGATTTCCGTTTAAACGAAAGTAGAAACTTCTTCCGGTTTTTTAAAAGTCTATAACTTGTATACCGATTCAACCTGTTGGGAATCATTTTATAAATTAGTATTGGATTGTAAAAGAAGTCGTTCAACTTTAAACTATTTTCTGTTTGTGAAAGTGGCCCTAAATCTATTTTCATGCTAGGTAGACACAATTCATATACATTTGAAAGAAAAAAAACCAAGGTGGTACTCTATGTTTCTAAAACTTGAATTACTTGTTCTGAAATACAGCTGGGGTATCAAACGTTGTTCTAGACCAGGGGTCTCAAACTACGGCCCAAACTTGGACCTCGAGTGTGTTGTCGGTCCCCGACAGTATTTTTTTCAGACTTTTTTCTCGGGTGGGCGGCATATATATATAAATGAAATATATAAAAAAAAAAAAAAAAAAAATAAATAAATAAATATAATTATATATATATATATATATATATGTATATATATATATATATATATATATATATATATATATATATATATATATATAT